TGCCAAGTCATAGGAGATGCCTGAGCGGAAAGACCCCTGAGGAGAGAGAAGCTGGTGCCCTGCTTGGCAAGGCTCGCCCACCTCAGCTGTCTCCCTCCCTTTCTAAATCACCGGTTGCCATGGGGCTTTCCCACCCTTCCCCTCATAAACACACAGCTGTTAGAGTCCTGAGCCGAAAGTCCCCAAGAAATGAGGATGCAAGGCTGAAGTGTGACGTTTTGCCCTTGGTCCTACCTACCCCGCATCCTAGCACATGCCCACTGCACATGCCCAATGTGCTCTCTCCCACATGGTTCACTCATGCATGGGACTAGTGAGCATTCTTCTTTCCACTGGTACTGTCTGTCAACATAGAATGTCTAAGCATCTTACAGTGGGCTAAGCATTGTTGGACGGGCATCCATCCATCCATTCATCCATCCATTCATCCATTTATTCATGCGCCCACCCATCCCACCCCCCCACTCCCCCACCCCCCCCACCCCCCCCCACCCCCCACTCCCACCCCTACCCCTACGTGACCTCCACCAGGGTGAAACTGGGATATTGACTACATTTCAGAAAAATAATTTCAGAACAAGTCTTGTGGAACAGAACAAGGTTTATTATGGAAATGTGAAAAAACATGTTGAGTGCCCACATTAAATCTAAGCATGAGTGGTCAGAAAGAGACTGGGTTCAGTGCCTTATCAATAATTAGTGTGACTTCACGGCTTTATGCTATGGTGTCCAAAATATGGATTTTTCTTTTCTTTCTCTTTGTCTGTCTTTCTTTTCTTCTGCTCCTCCTTCTTCTTCCTCTTCCCCCTTCCTCCTCCTCCTTCTGACTTTTCAAGACAGGGTTTCTCTGTGTAGCCCTGGCTGTCCTGGAACTAGCTCTGTAGCTCACTCAGTCTAGCCTCGAACTCAGAGATCCACTTGCCTCTGCCTCACAAGTGCAGGCATGGCGCTGCCGTGCCTGGTGGGGTTTGTTTTTTTTTTTTTTAAATTTTAAACAATTTTCATTTGTAAATGAAATGTAATCGTAAGAAGTAACTGAAGTGCATTGCTCAGGTCTGTGGCAGATAAAGTTGCAAAGGTCTTCAGTCCTGTGTTTCTAATCAAGTGTGGCTTGTTTGTTGTTTAAAACTCTTCCTTTGAGATATCTTAGACAAATGAGTCTTGAGCCTGTAGCAATCTTTACTGATTTTTGTCAGCAGCGTGAATGAGAACCCTAAACTAGATCCCATGGAGGAGGGGCTCCTTCCTCTTCCCACACTGCTGTCTTGGCTTTTCTGTCCCTCTATCCAGCCTCACCTGGAACACAAAGGCATTGGAGACATCCCAGTGGAAAGAGAATGTTTGCATCCCGGAAAGAAAGAAAGCATACGAAAAAAGGGAGAGTAATGGAGGGGGCGGGGAGGGGGGACAGGTAAAGACTTGGATGAGGTATCGTTGCAGCGAGCCCTGGATGCTAAGAAGGAATAGGGTTTTTTGCTTCTCTGGGCCTTATTGGAGGAAGAAGAATGGTCTTGCGGCACTCATTAAGAACGAACGCCTTTGAAGAGACCAGACAGGATGCACCCCCAGGTGGGGAGTAGCAGGAAGGGCTGGGGCCAGATGGTGCCCACAGAGGCTGGGAGTGAGATGTGGCTCCTATCCTCAGGGCCTCGGAGGGCTAGTGTTCTGCCCCGAGTTGTGCATGAAGTGTTTTCAGGAGCTAGAGTTACCCCGAGTACTGGGCTGGGTGTCCTGAGTTGCGCCCCACTCCTCAGCTGTGTCCATCCACCCAGGTGTGACCAGGTGCTCCTAGGCGCCCCCGTGTGTTGGAGGCGGGCAGAGTTTGAGAGTGGAATGTGGACCGGAAATGAACTGGAAGACAGAGCCGTACTCGGGGTCCAGAAGAAAGGAGTGAGGTGCTGGAATGGGGGCTGCCATCGCCTAAGGAGAGAGTAAACAGTGAAGGAAGAGTGCACCCAGGCCATCCCAGAGGACGCTTCAACAGAGAATGGCCAGAGGGCAGGAGGGGAAGAGAGACGGGCTGGAGGGAGGGCTAGGCAGTACAGTCCCCAGGATGAAATGCAGCAAGGGCCACCCTCTCACTGGAGGTGACTGAGGACCCTCCCAGGGTATTATTTAAGAAGGAAAAAAAGGACATTGCAGAAGGAGAGGGCTGAGAGACAACGGCCAGGGGAAGGTATGCATGCGGCAGGAGGATGATGCTCTTGAGAACTGTGTGGCTGATTGGCAGATTGGCATGAGTGGTGAATGAGAATGTGTTCTGGCCGATACCCACTGCCATCTCCCACGCAGCAAGGCTGGGTTCTGCTCCCTCAGGAGACTCCCAACATTGCTAGGGCCTGGTGCACAATGGCCCTCACCAAATGGAAGCTGCACGCCATCTCTTACTGTTCCGGTTTATACCCAGCAGGCAGAGAGCTGGTCCATCAGGGTAGAGGATGCTGTCCCATCATCAGCTGTGCCCAGGCAGAGCTGGGCTGGGCATGGGATCCTGGCATCTTTCACCACTGTCCCTGACGTACAGGAGGGATGGCGTGTAGCGGCACCTTGGCAGGGAGATGTGAGAGTCGAGAGCCATGGAGTAGGAGATGCTGGGAAGGCCAACAAGAGAGGAGACAACAGAGGCTTCCAGCCTCATAAGGGACACAGGACCTGAGGTGGCACAACATGTCATCCATTTTACAAACCTCTTCTTACATGGGGCATCCTGCAGGGCAAGCTCTGTCCGGGTCTTTGCTGAGTGAGTCCCAGTCTGGGCTCGCTTTCTCCCCCTCATGACCCTGTGAACTCCTGGTTTTGGGGTCCTCTCAACTAACCTCCAAATCCTACATCCTTCCCTCTCCTGGCCAGCCACCTGGCCGTTGGGCCTTCAAGGCTACATAGGGGACAGCCTGCCAGGGGTGGGCGAAGGAACCGCCGCCAGCCTGTTCATTTCTGCTCATTTCAGCCTTCCTTCTTCCTGGCAGTGCCAGAAAGCTCCTGGCAACACTGCATTGCCGTGAGGGTGAGGAGGTTGGGTCAGCAACTCCAAAGTAGAAAAAGCCACTGGAAAAGGGGGGAAAGACAGGGCTAGACACTTGTCATCAGAGCCGCCCAACTCCTAAACCTGACTGCGTTTCTGCTTGTGCCTGGGATTGAACCTGGGGCTCCAGCATGCCAGACACTCACTTTGTCACTGGGCTTCATTCCTTGTCCTCTTTTTACTTTTTGTTTTTTTGAGACACGGTCTTACCAAGTTGACCGGACAGGCCTTGAACATGCAATCCTCTTGCCCCCGCCAGCTGAGTAGCTGGGATTACAGATTTACCAGCATCAGGTCCGGTCAACCCACAAATCTTGCCAAAGGTGCTAGACCCCGGAGTGAGAGGACAGCTGGGTCATGTCCCCTGCTCATGCCCTTTATAATGAACCCTTACCATAAGTGCTCTGCCACCGGGCCACAATCTTCAACTCCTTTTGATCTCTTTGTGCAGCCCAGAGACTCTCGGAAACACAAGACCAACAGGCTATTCCAGCACAGCGTCCTGTGTGTCTTGTAGAAGAAGATAACCTTGAACTTCCGATCCTCCTGCCTCCAGCTCCTGGATGCTGGGATGACAGGTTATGGGCCACCACTTCTGGTTTTACACAGTGCTAGGGATCAAAGCCTTTGTGCACGTTAGGTCAGTGCTGTCCCAACTGAGCCACAGTCCTGTGTTACGCTTTGGCACGGCAGGTAGCTCAGCAAGTTAGTTTACATGAGTATCACCACAGCATGTGATGCTGGTAGCCGTGATGTCATTCACTGGTCAGGATTCTGTGGCTCCACAGCTCCGTGATATCTGTGGGGACCGGTGGCTTAAGCTCTCCTTTGTCTAGATGGCCCCTGTGATGCTTGACTGTGCATGCCTTTAACCCGTGAGGTCAACCGAGAAACTTGGGGAAATAGGGTAGATAAAAGGGTTTATCATTCCTTCATTCATTCAGGTCTTATCGTGCAGTTGGCTAACCCAGCAGAACTCTGTAGCTCAAATGAGCATTGAATTAAAAAAAAAAAAAGTTCCTCAGCTTCCTAGGTGCTGGGATTACGGGTCTGTATTATCACATGTTGGCTCCTTGTTAGCATGTTGGGTGTTTTACTGCTGTTTTGTTTGTTTTTAAGGGAAAGCAAGCAAAGTTTATTGGATAGTATAACAGCTGCTGGAAGCTGTGGGGTTTTTTTGTTTGTTTGTTTGTTTGTTTACCAGGGGACTTTTTAAGATTTATTTTATGTGTGAGTGTTCTGCCTGCTTGTCTGTCTGTGCACCATATGCATGCCATGGCCATGGAGGCAAAGAGGACATCACATCCCTTGGAACTGGAGTTATAGATGGATGTGAACTGCCTTAGGGGTGCTGGGAACTGAACCTGGGTCCTCTGCAAGAACATCGAGTGTTCTTCATCATTGAGCCAGCTCTTCAGCCCCTATTTTTTGGTGTTTGTTTTGAGGCAGAATCAAAAGGCTAGTCTCAAATGCACTGTGTAGCTGAAGCAGGTCTCGAACTCCTGATCTTCCTGTCTTCCCTCCAGAGTGCTGGCCTCTGACCTTTAAATAACCTATTAAAGAAACCCCAACCAGGTGTGGTGGAGTACACCTGCAATCCCAGCTCTTAGGAGGTTGGGGCAGGTGGATAAAGAGGTGCAGACCAGCCTGGACTACGTAGAGAGAGCCTCTCTCAAAAGAGAGGTGAGATCACCCCAAGTCTGGTTCTGAGAGTGGACCTGGGGTCTCTCCTCAAAAGTTGGTGGGAAGGCCGGGCGGTGGTGGCGCACGCCTTTAATCCCAGCACTCGGGAGGCAGAGCCAGGCGGATCTCTGTGAGTTCGAGGCCAGCCTGGGCTACCAAGTGAGTCCCAGGAAAGGCGCAAAGCTGCACAGAGAAACCCTGTCTCGAAAAACCAAAAAAAAAAAAAAGTTGGTGGGAAGACATCTCTGTTCCCTGTTTACAGACAAGGATGCCCTGAGTGCCTGTCTCTCCACAGGATGAGGGTGTCCCCCACCGGAAGAGGACGAGTTGGGTCCCAAGCCATGCCCCCGAGCTGAGTGACTGCAGCCAGCCTGAGGAGCCCCCATGGCACCACCTCTCCCCATGGAGAAAGGATTCATTTTGCCCCAGGACTTTGTACACAGCCTGAAGATTCGGGGCAAATACGCCCTGTTCTTGGCATTTGTGGTCATAGTTTTTGTCTTCATTGAAAAGGAAAATAAAATCATATCCAGGTAAGGAACTCCACCACGGGTCTCCTTTATCAGGGTGAGGGGCCTGAGGACAGAGATGACATTAGAGTTTTCAGGAGATCAAGAAGTACGTCCCTTCTACAAGTGGTCACCAGGCCCCTCCTGTGTCTTAGGCTGACGTCATGTGTACAGTAGTGAGACGTGGGCAGCCTAGACTGGCACCCATCCCCCACCCCCATATGGTCCCTTCTCAGCTGCAAGAGCTTAGGCAAAAGACTTCACTTTGGCGAGGTGGTTCTCCATAATCTGTGACTGGCGATGCCACCTTGTGGAGAGAGTCATGCGAAAAGGTAACCACATTTTGCCCATGGCCTGCCACATAGCCACTGTTCGGTCTTTGCCATTATGACCAAGTTTTTTTTGTTGTTGTTGTTTGTTTGTTTGTTTGTTTGAGACAGGGTTTCTCTGCATAGTTTTTGGTGCCTGTCCTGGATCTCGCTCTGTAGACCAGGCTAGCCTCAAACTCACAGAGATCTGCCTGGCTCCGCCTCCTGAGTGCTAGGATTAAAGGTGTACACCATCACCGTCCGGCCGACCAAGTAGTTTTTATTCTAGCACCATGGCTCCCTTTAGCAACATATCCCCTCCTCAAGTCTTGATGTCGGGAGTGAAGGTGAGCCCATGAGAAGCAGGTCTCGGCCACTTGGGTGGGTAGTACCAACATGGGCAACTGCCCAGGTGGTGTATCATTCAGCTCCAGGGGAGTGACCCTCAACAGGCTACATACTCCTTGACTTGGCATTGTATTGCTGTGTGAGATGGACCTGCTAGACACAGAACCATGTCTTAGTCCTGACCTCCCGGATTCAAAGCCCTGCCTAACAGCCTCGGCCAAGGAGGGTAGGTTGAGGACTGGAGATACATCAGCTGGTGCCTGTTGCATACCTTGTAACTCTCATGAAAACTGCTACTGACTTGTACCAGACAAGCCAGACGTATCAGAGGGCCAAGTGCCCGAGTTCTTTAGTGAAAGTGGGCCCGTGTGAAGCCATCATGAACCGCTTTACTTTCCACTGAGTCACTCCTGGGTTTCTGCCAAAGAAACCACACCCAGTCCTTAGCCTCTGGGCCTGCTCAGGAGAGACCCAGCTAAGGCTATTTAGACTAGTACAGGGGCTGGCCTCCCAAATCAGTCACAGACCTTGTCCCTTTACCCCCTACTCAGGGTCTCGGACAAGCTGAAGCAGATCCCTCAATTTGTGGCAGATGCCAACAGCACCGACCCAGCCTTGCTCTTATCAGAAAATGCATCTCTCTTGTCCCTGAGCGAGTTGGATTCCGCCTTCTCCGAGCTGCAGAGCCGCCTGAGGAACCTCAGCCTGCAGCTGGGTGCGGAGCCAGTGATGGAGGCCCAGGGGCAGGAGGCTGCAGTGGAGAAGCCGTCCCAGCAGGCTGGAGCAGGGCACCGGCGCCACGTGCTCCTCATGGCCACCACCCGCACGGGCTCCTCGTTCGTGGGCGAGTTCTTCAACCAGCAGGGCAATATCTTCTACCTCTTCGAGCCGCTGTGGCACATCGAGCGGACCGTGTTCTTCCAGCAGGGGGGCGCCAGCGCCGCGGGCTCCGCGCTGGTCTACCGGGATGTCCTCAAGCAGCTGTTGCTGTGTGACCTGTATGTGCTGGAGCCCTTCATCAGCCCGCCGCCCGAGGACCACTTGACTCAGTTCCTGTTCCGCCGGGGATCCAGCCGCTCGCTCTGCGAGGATCCAGTGTGCACGCCCTTCGTCAAGAAGGTCTTCGAGAAGTACCACTGCAGGAACCGTCGCTGCGGGCCACTCAATGTGACCTTGGCGGCAGAGGCCTGCCGGCGTAAGGACCACATGGCCCTCAAGGCCGTGCGCATCCGGCAGCTGGAGTTCCTGCAACCGCTGGCCGAGGACCCCAGGCTGGACTTGCGAGTCATCCAGCTAGTGCGCGACCCTCGGGCCGTGCTGGCCTCACGCATAGTGGCCTTCTCGGGCAAGTACGAGAGCTGGAAGAAGTGGCTGGCAGAGGGGCAGGACCGGCTGAGCGAGGATGAAGTGCAGCGGTTGCAGGGCAACTGTGAGAGCATCCGCCTGTCTGCAGAGCTGGGCTTGCAGCAGCCCGCCTGGCTGCGCGGTCGCTACATGCTGGTTCGCTACGAGGACGTGGCGCGCAGGCCGCTGCAAAAGGCCAGAGAGATGTACAGCTTCGCGGGCATCCCCCTGACTCCACAGGTGGAGGACTGGATCCAGAAGAACACACAAGCGGCCCGCGACAGCAGCGACGTCTATTCCACCCAGAAGAACTCCTCGGAGCAGTTCGAGAAGTGGCGCTTCAGCATGCCCTTCAAGCTGGCACAGGTGGTGCAGGCTGCCTGCGGCCCGGCCATGCGCCTCTTCGGCTACAAGCTGGCCAGGGATGCCGCCTCGCTCACCAACCGCTCCATCAGCCTGCTGGAGGAGCGGGGCACCTTCTGGGTCACGTAGTGGGGGATGCGCGGGGGGACCCTGGGAATCCCTTCTCGTGAAATGCTGGCCCTGCTTCCCTCACACCCAGCCTGGCAGTGAGACACAGCCCTGGCAGGGAGTCAAAATGGGGAGCGGTGATGGGAACATAGGCCCTGGCTGGAACATAGGCCCTGGCTGTAGCTGTAGGCCTCCGGCCAGGTGGTTTCCCCAGCACAGGCTCAGCTAGGACCTTGGGGGCTCCACTGAGAACAGCAGTACCCTGTCTCCTTGGTGGTACTGGTCATTCCCACACACCTTATGACCTACAGTGTCCCAAGCAGGCCCAGGCAGGTTCTTGTGTATGGATGGGCACACTTCCCGGGCTCTGTCTCACACTGTCACAGAAACATATATGGAACACACAAAGGCCTGTAGGCTGTGTGGGCCAGAGTTCAAATATTTAACAACCAGAAGGGCGTCGCCCTCTCCAGTCACTCAGATCTCCTACTATATTGAGTGTTAACCTTTTCCTCTCTGAGTCAGAAAAGCCTGGGGATCTGACTGAGTCCTTGGCAGGAGGAGGGCAGCCTGGGATGAGGAAGGGGACATTTGAAAGCTCCTGCGGGGACAACGGCTGTTTACCAACTGATACAAAATGGTCTGATTAGCCTTTCTGGTTCTTCATGGATATCAGCTTGGCTGGAACAAGACACAGAAAGTGCACATAGAGACCATGCAAGGCTGGGGGTGTGGCTCAGTGGTAAAGCCACTGAGGTCTCATGCACAAGGCCCTGGGTTTGATCCTAGCACTACAAAAATAAGGAAAAATAAGACATACATGTGTGTACAGCATTAAGAGAGACAGAAAAGCATCTTAAACTCTCTCTCACACACACTCTCACACACACACTCACACATATACATACTCAGTCACACACACTCACAGTCTCACACACACACACACACACAGTCTCACACACACACACTAATATAGAAAGTTTCCCCATTGTTTTTGCTCACAGTGGTTTTTTTAATTGTTTGTTTTTGTTTTTGTTTTTCTGTACCACATATCTAAACAGGAGCCCTAAATTACATTTTTAGGGTTACGTGGTGAGAGAGCATATGTAAGGACAATGACACTTTGCCCAGAGCTGGAAGGGAATGATGGGTCTGTGAACCACTGCTAAGCATCTGGGGTTGCCATAGCTACCTCCTCCGATCCATCCACACGCCACAGCTGGGAAGCAGAATATTTAGAGATGGCATGGCCTACCTTCACATGACTGCAGTCCAAAGACCCCCATCCTGCTCACTCACCTTGAAGGCCGCCTGAGGCCTAACCAGCAGGCCCCAGCTTCCATCGCTGAAAGCAAAAGACAGCTCATAGGCCTACTGTTTCCAGCCAGGCCTCATCTAGAGCCAGCCAAAGTTCAGAGTGCTCTGCAGGGGAAAGCCCACGCCAGGACTCAGCTTCCCTGAGCAGCCTGTCATTTCCCGCCTAGGTGCCCCAGGTCAGCCCTCAGGTTGCCATGGTTACAGCTAGTGTCTGCAAGGAATGTCTACTTTAGGGCTCTGGGAAGAGGCATGCTCATCTGGAAATAGGTGGGTATTTTATTGGGGTTTTCTAAGTTATTTATGGCTTAGTGCTGTTTTTGTTTTATAGCTGTTTGGGGCTTTGTTTCTGTAGAAGCACTATTCAGTGCTGATTGAGGCTGATACCAGCAGGGAGCACTGGCTCCTGGTGAAAGGGTAGACCAGAAGGAGGGGACCTCCCCTAGGAGAATCAGAGTCACTCAGAGCCCCCTAGGGACCTGTAGCTGGAGAGTTTTCTCTCCGGGTCCCCCAAGCCCTGGCAGTCCGACAGCCCACTTATAAAATAAACACATCGACGCTTATATTATTTAAACTGTTTGGCCTAATGGCTCAGGCTTCTTGCTAACTGTTCTTACATCTTCAATTAACCCATTTCTATACATCTATACCTTGCCACGTGACTCGTGGCTTACCGGCATCTTCACATGCTGCTTGCCATGGCGGCGGCTGGCAGTGTCTCTCTGCCTCAGCCTTTCACTTTCCAGAATTCTCTTCTCTGCTTGTCCCGCCTATCCTTCCTGCCTGGCCACGGGCCAATCAGTGTTTTATTTATACAGAACGATATCCACAGCAGGGACCTAAATGCTTTTCTGTGTGAACTCCATGTGGGATAACTCTCGGAAGCCACCGTGGGCCCTAGGTCTGTGGCCCGGATTCCAGTGTTTGTCTCGTGTGTACGAAGCCCTGGTTTAAGTTCTCTGCACATCAGCTCGGCACGTGATGGCATGCATGTAATCCCAGCACTCAGGAAATAGAGGCTGGAGACCAAAAGTTCAAGGTGCAGCTACATATGGATTCAGAGGTCAGACTCTATAAGACATCTAAAGCCCCAGCCTAGTGTCTGAGTGTCCAGAGCAGCCTGCACTCCTGCTCCCGAACAGGTCGCCTGAAAATCCCTTGTAAGCCCCACCATGTGGCCGAGGGAAGGGAGGCTGGTGCAGAGCCCTCTTGACTAAGCAGTTAGGTTCCCCAGGGCAGAAGCTCTTCCCTCCCTGTGCAAGCCGAGGTATAGACCCCAGGCTAGCCTTGGAACTTCTGCAGTGGGGGTTGGTTGCCACACTGATCTTCCTGGACAATTGCTACATCTGGCATGTCAGGGCCCAGGACTGAGCCGGTGATAGAGTATGACAGACACTGGATGTGTAGCACGGAAGCAGGCAGGCACTGGCGTGCGGAAGGGACAGTGGCAGGACACTCCCCATACTTGGGGGTTATCTTCCTGCTCAGCTGCTGGGTCCCAAGCATAGGTGAACTTCAGAGTCAATCGACCCTCTGCTCTAGATTCTGACAATCTGAGAACAAGTGTGTAGAAGACTGGATCCTACTTGGGGTTGAAGGGACACCAGCTCTTGGTACTTGATGGGGACAGGATGTTGTGGGCAGGCTCAGGGGTGCAGATATCTTCTCTCCATGCCCCCCATGCAGGCCACGTTCCCTTCTCTGCACCACATGTGAGTGTGGGGGGGTGTTAAGCTGGGAGTTTCCTTCTCTCTCTGTCCCAGGGGCTAAGGCCTCCGCATCTCAGCTCTCTGAGGACAGACCCCTACAGTGGACCTTTGGGACTTCTCAGGACATTGACAATGTCGTGTGCACTGCAACATGACTTTATCTTGTGGAAGGAAGAAACAGGACCCCAAACTGTACCCTCGTCAAGAAGTTCAAATAATTGTGACATTAATAATAGGAACGATTCTCATGCCACACACACACATCAGAAGAATATGCTTGTGTGTGTGTGTGTGTGTGTGTGTGTGTGTGTGTGTGTGTGTGTGTGTGTAGGGGGGGTGCATTCTGTTCTGCCTCCAGTGAGTCCACACACAGACGCAGCCTCTCTCTGTCACTGACCCAGATGCTCTCGTTGTGGCCACAGATAATGCTCTGATGCCCCATTCTGTCACTCTGAGAGCTGACAACCCTGTGTGCAGAGTCTGCATCGTGGACTAGAATGTGAAACTCTCCTCCTGGTGACCTGCCTGACTTATTTAATTAAAAACGAACATGCAGTGAATTCCGTAGTGATTCTTGCCTTTTGTTCTCAGTGGTAATTGAGTCATAAAAATGAACAGAAGAAAAACCATTCACAGCAGGGAGAAAGCTGTGGCTTACATCATGAAGCTTTCCCCACCCACTCCCAAGGGCCAGGGGCCCAAGAGGAGTATGGGTAAACATAGGTATCAGGGCCTTAAGAATGTTTTTTATGGTCCCAGGATGGTGGGTCTGGTGACCCTGCTTGGCGGGTGGCGCCAGATGGAATCATGACATCTGAGACACTCAGATATTATGGGGTGGAGACAGGAGCATTGACCCACTATCAGAGGACCTGGTGACAAGGCCCAGCTTTGTCACAGTCTGACCTTGGACAAGTCAATTTTCTTATCTGGGTTCACTCTCATTTAGGGATGAAATGTGTAACTGCCCACAAACGTTGTCACCAAAAGCTTTGTTAGGGATTTAAAAGGCAGTTAAAGGATTGATTCACCCTTTTAACAGCCAAGAGACTACTTGAGGCTTCATTCTGCCTTCAACAAACTTCAACAACCCCATGAGAAGATGCCTAAAAACCTTTTCATCTGAGGAATGTAGTGGAGTCCCTTCAAGTGGCAGCTGAGTGTCTCTGCCATAATGACCTTGGTGTGACTTAGATGTCAGCCCTATGTAAGTCGGTTTTCTGTTACTAGAACACACACCTAAGGTGGTCAGCTTATGAAGTGACTACTTTGTAAGGTTTGTTTTGGTTCATAAGTTTGGAACATTTTAGTCTATGGGCCAAACCATTACATCATGGTCAGAACATGAAAATAAAAGAAGGGGCTGGGACCCACTGTCCCCTTCAAGTGCACTCTCAATGATCTAAAGACCTCCCACCGGGCCCCACCTCTTAAAGGTCCTACCTCTTCCCAGTCCCACATTCCAAGTAATGACCCACTCCTGGGCATCCGAGGGCGTTCTGGACGCAGAGACTGGCAAGCCCTCTTGCCTCGTGAGATGCTCCTGGATGAAACAGATGTTTCCCCAGGGAGAAGGGGAAGTTCATGTTGGGACACAGGAAGAGCAATCTGGGGGAGTTTGGGGGCCTAGGAGCTTGGGGGCAGCTGTGGAGAGGTGAAAGAGTGTTGAACCCCAGGACAGTGGCTCCAGAAGAGTGACGCTGGTGAGGTACAACATGAATGGATGGGACCTCCCTGCCTCCCAAAACTCAATCTCCCGTCTCCTTATTTTCCCCAGTCCAGACCTTAGCAAATTAAACCATTTCCATCCAACCTGCACAATCACACCCAAAACTGAAGATTCCCCCTCCAAGACGGCTATCACTGGCCCATCTGCTCTGGGAACTGGATACAGTCAACTTAAACCCGGGCTGGGCTTCCTGCCACAAACGATCCCTACAGAAACAAATTGGCTTAATCACAGTAACGAGGTTTAGACACCCACCCACCCACCACCCTCAGCCACCAGCATGGCCAGAAGCCTCTTTCTGCACACACACCCCCTCCTTCCCCTCACCCCATTCAGGGCTCCTGACTCTTCTTGCCCTACATCACAACCCATCAACACCGGGAGGACTTGGGTCCCATGAGGTCCTGAGATAGTTGCCTACAAACATTGAGGAAGCAACTGGATCATCTGGGACCTGAGTAGCCTGGAGCCTGCAACAGTGTATACATTTAGAGTAGATGTGTCCCAGCTGCTCTTGAGAAATGACTGTGTGTATTAGTTTATCTAAGGTGCTGAGAAAAGCCTGGTTCCTTCGATCAACATTATGATTCCTCCACAGAATTTTTCTGCTCACACCCCTTTTGAACTTTTTGAGGTGGCATCTCACGTAGGCCAGGCTGGCTCTGCATTTGTTGTATAGTCATAGAAGATGACCTTGAACTTCTGATCCTTCTGTCTCCACCTCTGAGTGCTGGGATTACAGGTATGCGCCACCATGCCTAGTTTATGTGATGCTGGGATCTATAAGATGAGCTACAACTCCCATAAATTCATGTGTGCATGAAGCAATACAGAGCATGGGACTCTGGAGTAGGCTGGGCATAAACATGTCAGGGTGCTATTTCAGAGAAACTGGTGTCTGAGATAGCCCTTAAAGAAGCCCTCACTGAAACAGCTGAGCAGGTTGCTAAGGAGAATGATGACAGGGAGGGGTTCGGGCTGAAAAGAACACCCCCCCAGGACAGCCCCAGCCTTTCAAGAGCACTCTTGCGAGTGTGTGCATACGCACACTTATGCTCACACACATGCAAATGTGCATACAGACACAATCACACACATCACACACACACACACACACACACACACACACACACACACACACACACACACACACACACACACACACGGGGTGGGAAAGACCTGAATGCCTGCCCTGCAGGTAGTTACTGAAAACCACGACTGGGCTGTAACACAGAGCCTGGATGTCCACTGACTGCCACCCCCAGAGCCAATGTGTGAGGAGGGGAGGGGCACATTTCTTCTTCCTCTGGGACCTGTCCATTGACTCCATGTCTATTTCAACTTTTTAAAATGCTCTCTTTTCTCTTGACTGGGTGTTGATCTGAAGCAGTTTCCCTTCCAGGGAAAAGTGCGTCTGCCTCTGTCTCTGTGTAGAGAGAGAAGATGCTGCATTGAATTGGCTTGTTCAGAGCACCTCCCCCTACACAGCCCTCTCCCTGCCCTGGAGACCTGCCAGGAAGCCACTTCCACCCTGGGTCTAAAGCCCACAGCTTCCTGATTATGTTGGGACAGTTGAGATGATATACGTCAGGACTTGCCCATGGAGGCAGGAATCCCAGAGGGACTGCACTTGACATATCATTCTTCCTCAGTGTCCACTCTGTGCCTGACCAGTCAGAGCAGTGGGTGAATGAATGAGTAAAAAAAAAAGGAATGAATAGATGTGATGGAGACCAAGAGGCACTTGGGAGAACATCCTGTGTCTTTCTTTCATCGTGATAAAATGTGTGCCATATGAGATTTACTTGTCATGATATCCATGCCATTCATAATGGACCATTCTCAACACTGGTTCTAGAACATTGTCATCCTTAAAGGAGCTCCCCATTTCCTTGGAGGTCCCCATTTCCTCGGAACCAAAGCAGGAAGCAGCAGGTACTCACAAATCCTGACTGGGAGCCTGCTGAATGCAGAACCCACACCAGCCTCAGGGACACAGGGGAGGAGGCACAGCCCCGGCTCCTGAGTTCCCAGTGTGTCCATAGGAACAGAGGTCCCGTATCAGGTTACCCAATGCAGGAAATCCACCAATATCAATAGGATCTTCATGTATAATCATCTACACAAATAAGGTCCCAAACACGGAACAGCAAAGCTCACTGTCCAAGTCTCTATCAGTCCCTCCCTAGTACACTCGATGGGCTGTCCAGTGTGAAGTGGGTGACCTCAGGGGCAGCTCACCCACTCTGTCCTGCTCTCCACACTGCACCACTCAGATCTGCCTGTGGCAGTGGCTCCTGAGGGCGCCTTATCAGTCAGTCATTCCAACGGGTTCAAGAAGGTCACTCTTGTGCTTTATCTCAGGCACAGAAGCAGGGGGAGCTGCTGCACAGCCCGGGGGTGGGGGGGGCACATGTGACCTCTTAGAGGGCAAATGGAAGCAAGATTAAAAGGACGCTTTTCCTCACGAAAAATGCTGGCTTCCTGTGGTGTGGGATGTGAGTGGGGAATACTGAGCCATCTGTAAGGTGGCAACCTTAAGCAGAGTTCTCAGCCTCTCTTGGCGGCGCTTCCTCATCTGTACAACAGGATAGGGCCAAGGGTGGTGTCTGCTTCACAGGGCCATGGTAAGGATGAGATGCGGTTGTCACGTGCAAGTTGTCACGTGCAAGTGCTCAGAAACATTGTGGCTACCCAGCCAGAGGCGGGGAAGGAAGAGGGTTAGAACCCCTCATGATTTTTCTTCTCGCCAGTGACAGGATCAGCTGTGTATTAGTGAATGTTTCAAGAAAGCTATGTTTGTAATATTATTTTCTACTCAATGTACATCTCTCAAAACCCTCCAGGACCTCAGATCTGACCCATATCAACGTGCCCAGGGTCTCACATCCTGTCAAGCAAACCCGTTTCACTGTCGAGGACGCTACAGCTTGGTAGGAGAAGCGAGGTGATATGGAACCCCGCTGCAAACCTCGGTCTTTCTGTTCCCAAGTTTGCCCTCAGAATAGCTGCGCTGCATCTTGGAGGGGGGCATGGATGTGTCAGTGCCCTGGATACAGTCCCTGTCCTCAGTGATGGGACAATTAAAGGCGTTTGTTCATCATTCTGGCTGTGTGGATTCCCTGCGGACATCTGCCTCTGTGAACAGTGCTGTTTGGATCCCAGCCAACCAATGAACAGACAGTGGCCCTGGGAGGCTGTGCTTGGAATTTGGCTTTGATGCCAGCCAGCCGGAGCAAAATGTGTTGGGGGGGGGGGGCATGAGAAGAACCCGAGATGCAGTTCCTCCTATCCTAAGTCAGAAACAAGCGTGGGAATAGAGCCGAAACCAAGCACAGATTAGAAAGATAAAGTCAGACTACCCTGGCCTCTTAAATTGGCAAAGATGCCAGACATAGTGGCACATGCCGTTAGTCCCAGCACTCAGGAGGCTGTTTGGGCTGTTTGATCTCTGAGTTCAAGGCCAGCCTGGTCTACAGAGCGAGTTCTAGGACAGCCAGGGCTACACGGAGAAATCCTGTCTCGAAAAACAAAACAAAGCAAAAAAGTAACCCCCAGGAGTGGGGAAAAACACACACATACACACACACACACACACACACACACACACACACACACACACACACACACCCCTGACAGGAGAATTTAAAGGGCAGTTTGAAAACAAGCGTGTCCCAAGCTCTCCAGTAGATCTGGTTACAGGAATTTGCACTAAGATGTGTTTGTTAAACATTAAAGATTTATAATGGTGGGAAATTGGGGCCTGACCATGTGTTGAATAATAGGATGGGTAAGTGAATTATGGTTTTCCACATGATGGATTCTCTGCAG